TTGGGAGAATTATCATTCGGCTGCATTATTAACTTGGGTAAAAGAATGGATTACCTTATATAACAGTCGTCTCCTTAAAATAGAAGGGTTTGACCTTCAACAAGGTTGGCATAAGGCACTTTGGCGTGAGAATACCCCACAAAGCAAATGGTTTACCCGACACTACTTAAGAAATATCTTAATTCGAAATTGGGAAAAAGTCAGTAGAAAATATTATACTAAAACACCTTGCTGGTTAGCACCTCTAGAAGCAGTGACATATCCCAACCTTTATAATGTAGCCAAAAAATTAACATATAAAGATTTGATGAACATACAAAGGAGATTAAAATCTAAACAGGAATTAAACTCCCAAGGGGTGCAAATAGATTGGTGGGGTTATTTGCAGATTCAATCTAAATTTCAAAAGGATAGAGATGGGAAAGGCATTAATGGTGATACACAAGAGCTAGACAAAATTCTGATGGGCCAAGAAAAAGCCATGACCTCGAAAACTTATAAATTGCTTATGAAAATAGAGATAGGTGAGGAAATAGTTAAAGACACCATGATCGCTTGGGGAAAAAATTTTGGGTACCCAATATATTTAGACAAATGGCAAGAGATTTGGTGCGATAATATGAAATTAGTAGTATCCACGGCTTATAAGGAAAATATATATAAGATGATATATAGATGGCACTTACCCCCTGATAGACTAGCAAAAATGTTCCTGGGGCATGCGGCAGAATGTTGGAAATGCGGGTGGGAGCACGGCACCTATTATCATCAGTGGTGGACGTGTCCGAAAGCAACGGAATTCTGGGGGAAAATAAAAAAATGGCTTAATGAGATTTTAATGGTAAAAATAGACTGGAGCCCAGAGGCATGCCTGCTCGGGTCCAAGCCGGAAAATATAAAAAAGGATTTGTGGTATTTGGCTTTACATATCATCACAGCGGCAAGATTGACATACGCCCCATTTTGGAAAAACCAGAATATCCCAACAGAAGAGGCTATTATTAAAAAAAATCTTAGAATGTGCGGAAGCAGATACACTAACCAAAAAATTAAAGGAGAGAGAACAAACACAGGGAGGTTTAGCTTGGGATAAATTTTATAAATGGCTAGAAAAGAGGAAATTACAACCCATATTAGAGGAGGAATGATATTTATTGAGAAACCTATTCTATATAAGACAAGTGAGGTCGGATAGACCTAATTGATATATTAAGGCATATAAATTGTTTTGTCTTCTGCGGATTATAATGTAGAGATATAGTACCGAATATTTGTGTATTAAGGTACTGTAAAGAAGCAAAGAAGTATGCTTGTTTATTGTTGTATTGCTTTTTGTGTGTTTTCTTTTTACGTTGTGTTGGCTTTATGTTTTTTAATGAAAAATGTAAATAAAGATTATTTTTCAAAAGAGCAACATGCAAACAAAAGCAAATAAAACACTTCCAGGAGCAAAACAAATTAAAGTTTAATTTGTGTGTATGGTTTAATGGACTGGTAAATTGGTGAAATGGACTGCTAAATTGGCCACGCCCACCCAGTCACATGATAAATTTAGCCATGCCCACCCAGTCACATGATCATCTAGCCATGCCCACCCAGGCGGTCCAGCCCCAAAACAGTTGGAGGGACCATGAATTGGCCCCTTGTTTAAAAGGTTTGAGGACCCCTGTTCTACTGCAAGGAAATGTGGAAGGGAAAAGTAGACAGCGACCAAGCCCTTCTTGGTGATGGTGGATGGACTCAGTTGCAGGAGTGAAGAGTGCATCATTGGAGGACCAGAAGGACTAGATTACGAACAGATAATCATGAGGAAAATCTATCTATGTGGTTGCTAAAAATTCATAATGTAATCAATCAAAATCCTTTCTTCTTTTAATTTATCATCTTCCCAGATTAACAGTTCTGAAAAACATGAAAAACTTATTTTTTTTATCTTTGATTGCCCAATTCAAGGTGTTCCCTCAACATATATTTTACTATTCTTTTTATCTTGTATAATTTTATACCTTTCATAAATTTATCCCAGAACAAATTTCATTGTATTGAGTGGAACCTACACTAACGTAGGCATGCATATCTTTACATGCTTTGTTTTGGCTTGCCTGATAGGACAGATATTTCCCAGTGCAAAATATAATATTTCTAAAATTCTCTAAAAATTGTGGGTTTATTTGTGTTTGTTGTTTTATTAAATCAGGGAAAAGGAGCCCATCCTCTTTCATAGCCCCAGATTGAGGAATATTGAGGAAAAACATAATTTATGGAACGAGTGGAATGAGGAGTGTGAAGGAAACTGGAGATGATGGAATGATGAAAACACCTCCCTAACATCTGCCATTTTACTTTTTCCTTCCATTCAACTTTGCCCTCCAAGTCCCATGATGCTCAGAGAAGAAGTTCTCTAGTTGCCATAGTAGCAAAGATCTAAACAGCCACTTCTTTGCCAACGAAGCCCAAGAACCGGTAACGTGAATAAACGGACCTCGGGTAGAAGCCTCTGTCTGGGCATCGTGGGGAGGAAGTTTAAACCCTGGGTGCTTGGCGGGAGCTTCGACTTCTGTTCTCTGGGCAGTCGAGGAGTGCTTGGTTCGGGTTGTGGGTAAGCAAAGATAGCAACAGTTAAGGGGAAGCAAAAAAACAGGTGGAAGATAAAGGCCTGGTGGAAGAACTCTTCCAAGGGACCCGGAAAACGAAGCAGCTATTTTTCCCTTCCATGTTGAATTGTGTTGCCAACTTCCGTTATGTACTGTTTTTATAGTTCATTTCTCATCAATGATAACTGAGCACTAACTGCACAATCTCTGCCTCAATTAGTTTTTTTCCTTTTGTCCTTTCATATGTTTATTCATTCCTTTTTAAATTATTTAAAAGAAGTGATAGGTCTTTTTCCCTTCTTTCCTTTTTAATTCTCTTTTAAATATATATTTAAATATATGTTGGGGTCAGAATCTTCTTTCAGTTGCTTTGTCCTTTGTCTTTCTCATAATTTCCTGGGTCAAAGTTTTTTATCCGCATGTGAATTTATTTCAGCAATGGGAACTAATCTTTTCTTCTTTTTTATCCCTCCAGTCTTAAAACCTCAGACTATTTTTTTATTTTTAAAACTGCTATATTTATTCCTTCTTTTGTTCCTTCTTGTATCATCCAGTTTCATTTTTCAATGGCCTCTTTTCTGCCCGCCTCTTTTCCTTAAGCCAGCTGTACATCTATATATGATACATATGTATCATTCAGCTTTTCTCTCCTTAAATTCTTCTAAAACTTGATGGGCTTATTCCAAGGCAAGTGGATAACAAGACAAGGGAACTAATCTCTGAGAATTCCATAGGGCTTCTTTTGAAAAGATAACTAGAGCATAAGTGCTCCTCTCACATTCTGACAGTTAAGACTGTTTAACAAAGTTGCCCGCTGAATCTGGAAGTTTTTCAAAATCTAGAAACGTACATTGTGACATCACAATGGAAACTGCTCCTCTTATGTACAATAGATGCCTGTTTCCAATGCAATGATGCAGATATAAAAGGGGCAGAATCTACACAGCAACCTCTCGTCTCCTCCCAGTGAAAGAAATAAGGAAAACAGAGTCTCCATTTTTGATTTTCAGAGTCATTTTGGGGCCTAGGGACAAAATGAGTGTTATAAGCCTTGTAGGGTTTAAGGAACTATCTTTTGAAGTAAAATTCCTCAGAGAAACAGATCCTGCCCATTTCTGGAGGGCTTCTCTTGCTTGTCTGTTTATTCAGTGTTGCTGTTCTGCCCCACCTATGCACCCCAAAGAACGCAGCACACACAAAATCTGTACAAACCTTAGTTTACTAAAATAAAATCAGTTTTTCAAACAAAGGCTGTTAATTAACTTTCTTAACAGCCTACAAGAATCCTAAGATAAAGTAATCACAATGTTACTGTGGTTGGCAGAAAGCCCAAAAGCAATTTGCAACGAACTAAGAGCAAGGCACGAAGGAGAGTGAACAGCTGTTCCCTGCAAATAGCTTCAGTCGGTGTTCCTCCTTAAATAGGCTAAGGGAGTGGCCAATTAGCCCCAAGCCTTACTCTCGAGGAGACCTCCTCCTGAGGAGCCACTCCTGCCTTTTGGCAGCTCTGCGTGCCCGAGCATTGAGAAGAGGCTCCTCCACTTCGTCCTCTTCACTTAAGGGACCTTCTGGAGGTTCTGAAGCCCCTGGCTGAATCCCCGCCTCTGGCACCACATCTTCTCCAGCTTCCTCATTGTCTGACTCGAGTGCCACCTGCACAGGAAGCTAGCGCAGCACCACACCAGCCTCCTCGTTGTCAGAATCAGCTAAAATCTACACAGGCCGCTGACGGGCCACAACAGTTGCCATATGCAAAGCCTGGTTCAGCTCCCACATCAAAAAGAACTCAAACTATCTGAAATAAGTGTTTAAAAATAGGTAGGACTAACCAAAAGGCATTCTGCACCTATTTTAATGTTTCCTTAACATATTTTAAAATGTACATGTTTTTAAAATGTGTAGAAATAAGGCCAATCTTGAATGTTGGAGGGTTTCTGAACTAGCAAGGAATAATCTGCTGCTATTTTGACTTTGATTTATCAGGAAAATATTTTCTCAGTATGATGTTTCCCATAAGTAGCTGGGTGAAAGAAATAATGTTGTATGCTTGCTTGAGCAGGATATTGGACTAGACCTATAAGGTCCCTTCCAGCTCCATTATTCTATTATTTGAATGTCAGTACAGATATGCCTTGAAATGTAACACTATTACTTTACTCTTTTTAGCTCCTTGAAAGGACTCAGGACTCTGGAGGCATTGCATTCTGTGAATGAGAATGCCAAGAAAGTAGCATATTAATTAATCAACACATCAGTTCTTCAAGAAGTATAAGAATAATATAATGCTAGGAGCCAAAATTGTGGTGATCTTTTTGGTAGAGAATCAGCGCAAACAACTTTTAAATGTATTGGATGAAGGCTTAAGTAAATGTTTACATCATACATTGTTTCTTTTTCTGACTACAGTGCCATTTCCTTTGAGAAATTTAAAATATACTTGATAGACTTCCCTGCCATTGGTGGAATGATGGCTTCTGATCATCCAGCCCTTCATCATACTGTCCAAGAGGATAAAACATCGGGGCAATGCAGAAACAGAAGAAGCTCAAATGATTCTCCAGGTAGGCTTAGTAACAGCACCAACAGTCAAGACAGTAGCTGTAGCAAACATTCCAGCAAGTCTGGAAGTGCTCAGTTTACCTACTCTAATGACTTTCATGATAATGCTTCAAGAACAGCTGTCAATGGCAGCAAGAACAGCATTTGTTCAGAAGAGAACATCTGTGGAACTTCTCAGAACTACTATTACGAAGATTTTCGCTCGGATTCCTCTAAAGCCTCCATAAGTGAAGAGAGTGGCAGCTACACCATCCCATTGCCCGAAACACCAAAAACTAAAGAGCGGAATTTACCAGAAAAGAAAAAGAAAAATGATGTCCATACAAAAGGTAAGAAGGCAATTGCTCACTTTGAATAGTACTGCATTCACTGTGGTTGGTAGATTTCAACCGAACTAATGGCAGCTAAGCCTTTCCTAAAAATCAAGCAATTGTCCTATAACTCTGCTTTTGCTTAGCTACCCTGACACTTCTATACTGTAGAGACTATACTATAATTTTGGAAACCATTTGAATGTTGATAAAATGTTTAAATTCTATGCAGTTGATTAATACATTAATGTACTGCTTTCCACACCCTGTCCGTAATTCCTCTATCGAGGTAATGGGGCTTGTAGCGATGGATGTAGTTCACCAGTTATCATGGTCATACAGATGTCGGTGTCATATGGTTTCCATAAATAAGCCAAGGGCCAGGGAATAGGTTCCAGTATTTTAAAAAAAAAGTGTTGGCAAATTTTAATGGTCACACTTCTTTTCAGTCTATTACATTCATTGTTTTATCATTATTTGGATATCGTATGTATGTATGTATATGTATATCTATCCACCTGTCTGTCTAGGAAGTTTTGTGTAGTGGTTAGGGTGCTGGGCTACCAATCCTGCTTTAGGCCTGTCTGGCTGAAGAATTCTAGGAGTTGGAGTCAATGCATCTTAAAGCTTTCTAAATACTGTCTTAGCATAATATGTGAGTATAGCAGTTCTGTCTTACGGAAGCTAATATTATGAGAGTTCAGGTATGATTTTTCACAATAGGTCAATCAACAAATAGTTGCATCAGAGATTGACTCAAAAAGTTATATAAAAGGAAGCGAACCTGTGTCGTCAAAACATATTTGAGCATTTGGCTCTGAGGTTTATGTAAAATGATGTGATTCTTAGTTTGCTCAATCTTACATGCCGTCTTGATTTTTTTCTATTTTTTTTAATGTAGGAGGCAAAACGTTGCCTAAAAAGAAACCTCAGCAGAAGAAGACATTTATTACTGACCATACCATCAATGCTCAGAAGAAGAAAAATAAGATAGGCTGTCATCTATTGTCAGCAACAGACCATACAATTAAAGAACTGAAAAACGAAGTGGCTGTCCTGCAGAATAAAGTGGAGACTTTTACTACGGAAAATAAAATCTTGAAGCATCTCCAGTCCCGACATTTAAAAGCAATCAGTAAATACATAAAATGCAGAGATTAACCTGCCTGATCTTTTGGCCACGCACGCTAATGAAGGGCAGACTCTGAGAGCAGATCATTAACATCATTTACCGAAAAATTGGAAGATAGGGATAAGAAAACTCAGGTAACATGCAACATACATTGCTTAGAACTACATAGCAGGGCTCTTTGTGACTGTGAAAAATTGTGAGTGTTATAACTGAGATTGAGGATTCTCATCCTTTTGGCAACATTTGCTAATATTTCAGTTGCCTTCCTCTAATTTCTAATTCAATATTGTATGTTTGTAAAAATTTAATAAACTTATTGATGGTTTATTTCTAATGTGTTTAGGATTTGGAAAAGCAGCTCGCATCGAACACTGCCTTTTTTCGACATAAATTAGCAGTTGAGGAAAAAACGATCATTGAAGCTCAGTCAAGCAGAGCAAATTTAGAAGTAGAAATCAAGTCGCTGAAGCTAAAACTTAAGGTATTTAGAAGCTTAAATTACATTTTTCTTACCCTGGAAGGCATCCAAGATGCTATTCACTAAAGGCTCATTTGAGGTGAGCCTATCTTGCTTTGTGGGGCTTTCTTTCAGCCTGGAACCATCTAAACTCTAGATTGCAGCAATGTATTAATTTATGTTAGTCCATTTGCACGTTACCATTTCTAGGAACAGACAGTACTTGAAAAGTGTGTCCCAACATGAAAACATATTAATCAAGGCCTGTATTGATAGAAAATTGAGAAGCAGTTAATATTTTCATTGTAATTATAGTACATATTTAATACTGCATACTTGGTTAATGTCATAACTATTTTGTATCAAAACATTTTGGAAGGACCTTTAAGGTCAAATTTAATTAATTGTTTATGAATTGTAAAAATAAAAAAACTTGATCACAAACTTCACAGTTCCAGAAAAAAAAAAGGATATTTATCTTTCAGAATCTTTAGAAAAGGAAGTATTTGGCCAAATGATGCCTAAGCAAATGTTTAAAATACAGATAAATAAAATGAGATACTGAGGGAATTACACGGTGAAATGTATGATCTCTGAAGAACCAACATTAATCCAATACACTGTATTATCAACATAAATTTAATAATGAATTTCTTTAGGAAAGAGAACGAGAACTAAACATTACAAATATTTATGCACACCGGATGCGCAAAGGTCAGCCAGAGAAAGCCGATTTCACGTTCTTCTCCAAAAGGTAGAACAGAGTTTATCTCATACTTTACTGTGAAATAAAAATATGATAATTCTTTGACTTGTCAAAAATATTTCAAATCCTTGCTCTATTTTCTTTTTAAAAATGGCAATGCTGCATTTTGTGAACTCTTTATGTAGGAGTCATGAGTCTTGATTAAACAGGATCATTCTCATCATTCTCTCTAGATGGGAAAAGAGTTTTATGGGTATTTACTAAGAAACCTCACTAAATTCAAAAGTCCTTTGTTACAGGATTTTAGTGTATATGTCTGTTATATAGATCATAGCTAAATGATACCTAGGTATAATCTCATTTATATTTTGATGACTTCTGGAGCCTTTTGATTTGGGATATAAGCCTGGCTTTGGAACTGAAATTGCTTTATTCTCTCATGCCATACTGCCATTATAAAAATGAGTTAAATCATGTATTTTGAAGCAAATAGTATTAATAAGTGGCAAATTTATTTATATTTTTGTCAAATTTATATAATGTAGTTGCCCATCTCTCTAGAGCTACATGCTCAAGATCTATTATTGCTGTTTCTTCCTCCAAATTTAATGCCACAGTCATTTCCCCCCAATCCCGCCTCCCTCATATACATACATCATATAGGCTGAATTAATGAGTGTGTATGTCTCACCCCTTAGTGTACCTCTGTATTTTTGAAGGAAATACAGGAGTGGTTTACCATTGCCTGGTCCCATGCAGTATGAAATAACCCCCTTGTCGTTGCCACTGAAGGGATTACCTAACATCTTCCCATCATGCTGCTGCTATCCAACATAGACAGTCCTCAAATTATGACTGTAATAGAGCTCAGAATTTCCATTGTAACTTATGATGTTTGTAAATAAAGGCATCCCCCTGACCAACCTTATTTTACCTCAATTGTAAAACAGATGCTGCAATCATTAAGCAAATATTCTGGTTGTTAAGCAAGTTAGTGCATTCTGTGCCAAAATCTGATCCCTTTTTCACCAAATCAAACTGGCTACTAGTCAATGAAATACAATAAAAGCAATATGAACGGCATATGTATTAAATCGCTTAAAACATGTAAGTAAAATACCACTTGCCTTTCAGTAATGTCAGTCATGAATGTATCAAGTTTATTGATTGATTGATTGATTGATTGATTGATAGATTGATTGATTGATTGATTGGCTTTTCATAGTTGTTAAAGTCAACAAAGCAATTCAGGTAAATATCAGCCGAAAAATCACAACTCTTCGGAAGCCTGAGCCTTATCTAAGTCCAATGATCTTCCACGAGGTATGGAACAGCTGAACAATACTTTTATCATTCTTAACTTCTGATCCTTTGTAAGCTTGGTTTCTGCTGATAATTGCCTGCTTGTAACATGCATCTTATACTAAGATTTTATAACTATGTTATAAATATAACTTCGTTACTGAAAAGGGAACTAAAGGATACAACTTTAAATTTTATTATTGTATTAATAGGAAATCCTTGTTAAGATATGGGACAATGTATGGATTATGATAATATTTAATACTGATCCATGGCTTAATTATGGTTTGCTGAAGAAATAATGGCTAGTTCACCCAACATGCCAGGAGAAGGCCAACCACAAAAAGGGTTGAAGCAATTTTCCAAACAAAGCTATTTCCAATCCACTTGCATGCCCAAGTGTAGATGTTGATGGAGGGTTTTGGCATACCTGCCATTTTTTTGAGGAGCTGGGAGTCTGGCAGTTCTATCTTTATTAACTTTTGGGAATCCTTAAAATATGGTTTTGTCAGTGGGCTTGGTGATCCTACAGAAATAGGGAACGGGAAATGGCTATATTTCATGTAAGATGTTTAAATGAACTCCCCAAAGTTTTTGATAATATTTATAGTTTTTTAGTTTTTTTAATGGCTTATAATGGCTTGGACTGAATTTTGTGTGTTGCCCAGTCACATGCATGAGATAGGCAGCTTAATAAATATGTTAAATAAATAAATTAAACATCCCTGCAAGTATTCCTTCTCTCTCTTTCCTGGCTTGTCTGAGATCCCAATAGGGCTTATTGTGCTAGAATTGGTTGCATTTTTCCTTTCTTTATAACTTTGCGCTTCTTTTGAACTAGGTCTTGGGGACTCCGTTCATGAAGGTAGTCAGAGCGATATCTGTATCCTATTAAAGTTCCGCTGTTTGTCTCTCTGTAAATTTTAACTGGGCAGAAGTGTGCATCATAGGACAATCATTTTTCAACCAAGGTAGCTGAAATGGGTTTACTTAGTCCAAAATCTGGAACCCATGGCTTCTGTGGAATTGAAATTGGACAAATTTCATGACATAAAATTATAATAAGAAAAAAAGTCAGAAAATATTTTCTGGGGTCAGCTGTCGATTTTTGACCATTTTATACAGTTCAACCTGGCTATTTTCAAGGCAGATACATGTCTGAATATCTTCCTGAATTGTTAAGAACTTTTCTAGTGAAGACAGTACATTAGAAGCTCTGTTATTGTTGAAAGCATTGAGGAATGTGGTAAGGTGGTATCTCTGAAACAATGACCAAAGGAGTCGTGGGTTCTCTGGTATTAATTAAAATGCTGAATACCTCAAGGGAATTTTAGGTTCAAGTCCACCTTGACTCGCAATGCCATAGGCAACTTTGCTTTAGTGACTATCAATCAAATAATATGGAGTTTCTATTGTAAAGAAATTTTGGAAGAAATATGGAAGACTTGAAGGAGATATAAATCTAAGAAATAAATAAAACAAAGCCCTTATTTATTGATGTTTTCCTATTTTGGATTATAATTTAAAACTATGTTAATTCAATATTGGGAGACTTTAGAGAGACACTTTATTAGACAGAGAAAAACGAAATGGAAGGGAGGATATTAATGGAGATTTAATGACACTTTATCACTTATACATGTAAAAGGTAACATTCACTTACAGATATCTGCTTTTTTTCTCTGACCTTTTAGGAATTGAAAACCAACAGAAGTGAAAGAATTAGTTAACATGGCTAAAAAACGTGTCCCTGAAACAGGAGTTCATCTCCCTGAAATATTACCAGTGCAGAACATTTCAAAGAGGACATTCTTGGGTAAAAACCATAAATGACTATAAATATTGAACTGTAAAAATCGCAAGACATACCTTTTGCTTAAGGAGTCAAACATTGTGCTATAATGCTTTATTTTATAACTGCTCTGTGTTATTGTGAACAATGTCTGCTCTTCAGAAGAAATACAGAATGTGGCATAAGTTTCTTGGACAGTTTATTTTAACTGAAGGTGCTAGTTTAAATAATTTGTAACACTAGATAGAATACAGGTAGTCTTTGACTTACAACAGTTCATTTAGTGACCATTCAAAATTACAAGGGTACTGAAAAAAGTAACTTATGACTATTTTTCATACTTATGACCAGTGCAGTATCCCCATGGTGACATCATCAAAATTCAGATGTTTGTCACCTGGTTCATATTTATGACTGGGGTCATGTGATCCTTTTATGCGACCTTCCAACAAGCAAAGTCAATAAGGAAGCCAGATTCACTTAACAACCGTGTTATTATTCACTTAACATGGTCGTAGGTTAAGGACTACTTGTAATGTACTTTTGTCACTGTTGTTTTCTCTAACAAATGATGGATGTTTCTAAATAGTTACTGTTGAAATAACATTTTTTGCAGGATTCCAAAATGAAGAGATCTGCCCAAGAATAGAAAAAAATACCCAGTATGAAAATATAGAAAGACACAAGAACAGGAGAGAAAGGCAAAGGTTGGAACTATTGAACACAGAATTTGATATATTAAAGACCAAACCAATTGAAAAAAAGGAAAATGAAGAAGATAAAGAGGCAAAAGAAGCTGTTTGTGACATATTAACAATGGAAACACCATCTACCTCTAAAAAACAGTATGTATTTTCAGAGGCCATTCAAAATTTACATCAGGGATATCCTTCAACAGGTCCAAAGATAACATACAGTAGAAGACAAAGGAACAGGCAACAGGATGGAAAAACAAACCTTTGCCCAGTAAGAAAACCCCATGATAAGGTTTGATAGACATATGATGGCTTGCATTGGGTGATTCCAGTCAAGCCCATAGAACTAGTAGATATTAGATGCTGGATAGTATTAGTACTAGGAGATATTAGATAGCAGATGTTAGTATTAGAACTAGAATATATTAGTAGTTTCTATAATTATTGTAATAAGCATCACAAAAATCTAGATTTTGTGAACTTGTTGCACATTTTTACAACACATAAATATTAAAGGAATTTTGAAAGAAACATTTTATGACTCATGCTTATCAATGTCTACCTCTAAATAAAATTTCCTTGAAGCCTCTTTCTTTCCTATTTGAAATGAACAAGGAGAATATTTCTTTGCAGCTTATATTCACTGGTGCTGTTTCATCACATGAGGGAGCTAACGACTGTAATATTTTAACTCCTCAGCAACTTGCCTATTGAGACAAAGTGTTGTTAACTTCCACTATGTAACAAGTCTCCTCTTGAAGGAATACTAAGTTCAAAAGGAAGCCAATGAATAAAGTACTAATCTCCTTGACCATTATTGTCCATACTCACTCCTCAGGGCAACATGCCATCATCTTCACTTTCTTAAACAGCAAGCAAGTAACCAAATAGCTTTGAAAGACTCTTCTAGGGAGAAACATACATCACATGCATATACTTACTGCCGTTGACTCTGAGGATGTTGCCACAAACACTTTAATAATTGTTGTGTTCGGCACGCTGCCTGACGACGAAGATGCCGTATCCTGATTGGCCGGCATGAAGTTGCCGCAAAGCGCGGAAGTCTCCGAGCTTGCGGATTGGTTACAAGAGTGTGACAGCTACTATGAAAAATGCTGTCAGCCTCAGTTGTTTGTTCTGTTATCCGAGTGGCTGGTTTAACTGTTGTACTATTAAAGTAGTGTTGAACGTTCTGTGTTGCCATACCTTCCACCTCGCAACAGAGCACTGGCAACGAGGATGGGATATGAGGCACACGGGCAGCGTAGTCCATAACTGAATGGCTACGCTGCGATAGTGGCAGAATACGTCTAGGTCACACAGACACCAGTCTAAGAATGGTTCCGCCAAAGTTCACCCCATTTGATGCCGCTACCGAAACCTGGGATGCCCATTTGCAACATTGCCAATTTCTGCCGTTCATTTGTCAAAACTGCCTCCTTTCCCAAGCAGTGGCATTCCGCCAACGAAGATTGTTTCTCTATTTTTCGTGGCCGCCAGGTCACTGAAGTGACCACCCGCCCAGTCCGCTCTGAGGGTGCTAAGCTGTTGCTGACCCTCAAGATAGAAGGAGCAACTTGCCAGATGGAAGTGGACAGAGGATCGGCTAAGTCTATTGTGTCCTGGTGGGCCATAAAGAATCTTATACCCAACCTACGAACAGGGGCAGCTGTGCCCCTGCCCAGTCAAACTTCGTGTTTACCAGGGGAATTACATTCCCATAATTGGGCATGGCCGTTTCTTAGTGGAAAAGGATGGGTTTGCAGGGCATCTGACCTTGATTGTAGTTGATGGGTCTCTTCCCAGTCTCTTGGGGTTAGATTGATTCAGCAGCTCCCGGTGGATGACGCCTCAGCTGAGCTCAGACCATTGTGACTCACCGGGGAGCATTTAAATGCCGGCGTCTGCAATTTGGAATTAGTGTGGCCCCTGGACTTTTCCAGAATCTGATGGAGTGGTTGTTACATAGCCTTCAGGGTGTGGTGCCCTACTTCAACGATGTGCTCATCTCCGCTTCTTGTTGGAGTGAGCTTATCGATCGAGTTAGGGCAGTCCTTTTGCGCTTTCGTCAATCTGGCCTGAAACTAAAGAAGGCCGGGCACCGTCAGACTCCTCAAATTCTTTCCCCTCGGATGTCCCGTTGGACAGTGCTTTTGGCTGCCTATAATTATACCCTGGTTCACCGCCCCGGCAAATTGATAGCACACGGGGAAGCCCTCAGCCGCTGCCCATTGCATGTGCCTTTCATAGATCCTGCGCCTGCTCCATCCATCCTTTTGGTCAATGAGCTTTGCACCCCTTTAACCACCGCTGACATCGCGGCTCGCTCACTACGAGACCCCATCATAGCTCAGGTCTTAGACTGGGTGGGCAGGGGGTGGTCATTAGGGCAGGTGGCTGAAGTTTTTGTGCCATACTGGTTCCGTCACCATGAGTTGTCCGTCCAACAGGGATGTTTATTGTGGGGAAATAGGGTAGTGGTTCCTCCCAAGCTACAGCCCTCAGTTCTGCAGTGTTTACACGACAGTCATCCTGGCATTGTCAGGATGAAGGCCTAAGCTGGAGTTATGTCTGGTGGCCCAAAATTGACAGAGACATCACCGACTGGATCTCCGGGTGTCAGAAATGCCAGCTATCGAGGCCGGCACCACCTTTTTTTTTTTTAATTTGATTTATATGCCGCCCTTCTCCGGAGACTCAGGGCGGCTTACAATGCGTTAAGCAATAGCCTTCATACTTTTGTATATTTATACAAAGTCAGCTTATTGCCCCCATAAACTGGGTCCTCACCCTCCTCCCCTCCTAGGGAATGGGAGACTCCTAAAAGCCACAACTCTTTGGAAGCCAGAGCCTGAAGGAAGTCCAATTGTGGAGATGGTGTTATCTCAGTAATTGGCAAACCATTGCTGAGTAGACAACATTACCACAAACTCCTAATCTCATCAAATACAGGATGTCTGGCAGAGGCCTTATATCAAGAAATGCAAGGAATGGAGACCCACCACGTTGGCATTGTTTGTCACAGGAAATACATGAGGGAGACACGAGGGGTCCATATGGACTTCACGAGCTTTCTTTAGCCAATCAGTATCAGTAAAGGTTGATTAATGTTTTGCCATGGTAGTTGTAAAATGACAATAAAAGGAAGCCTTTTGAATGGGGTCAGGGTGCCTTCCCCAAGGTACCTCACACCGAGGTGCCTTGATCAAGGTGCCTTCCACCCGAGGGGCCTTCCTGTGAACCATCATCCTGCCTACGCGTCTTTCTTCATCGAAACACCAATGACCTTCCATGATGTATGGAAAAACTGAACAATTCTTTTATCATTTTAAATTTCTGATCAATTGTTAAGTTTTGTTTCTGCTGATAATTGCCTTCTTCTTATAACATGCATCTTATTGTAAGGTTTTTGGAGTAGGGAGGGTTGCAGGCTATTTATAACTATGTTATAAATTTATAAATAGAAGAAATATTTTTAAAAGAAATGTAGATTTATAACTATATTTTTAACATAAATTTCTTACTCATAAAGTTTTTTTCTTAAACCTGGAAGCTAAAGGATTATATTAGTAGGAAATCCTTGGAATACTTAAGAAAATATTTTAATAAAGAGTTAAGACATGGGACAATTTATTAATATTTTATACTGGTCTTTTTGAGAAGGTGGGCAGCTGGCAGTTCTAACTGAATTCACTTTTGGGAAGCCCTTAAAATGGCTATATTATAGGTAGAATTTTGAATGAAGTTTCCAAAGGCTTTGATTATATTTCTAGTTTTTTTGTTTTTTTAATGGCTTATAATGGCTTTGACTGAATTTTGTGTGTTGCCCAGTCACATGCATGAGACAGGCAACCTCAGCAGGCGAGCGAGGCCTCAGCTGGGGTCCTCGGCAGACAACGGGCTTCCCAGGATGCCTAGAGCCAGCTCTGCCCTATGGAGGCCCGGTTCCCATGCAGCACCATGATCCATGAGCTGCTGCTGGCACTATGCGGCTACCCAGGCAGCCTCTTCATGGGCAGCAGCCTGAAGGTGGGCAGGGCAGGGGGGCAGCCCTCCCTCCCTTTCTTCACAGGCCCAGCCCAGCACCATTGCTCCTCCTCCTCCTCCTCCTCCTCCTCCTCCACAGGTGTCCCCAGAGCTGTTGCCATTTCTGCACCCTCCCTCCTGGCCTGCATCTGCAGGGAAACAAAGATTTGTGGGACTAAAAAGAAAGTTTAATCAATCAATTCCAACTTCTTGTAAAAGAAAAAGATCTCACAAAGTTGGAATTGATTGCGTGAACTGTTTTTTTTTTTAGTCTCACAAACTTTTGTTTCCCTGCACACGATGGTGAGAAACGTGACAGAGAAATGCGATGGAGCTGGAAATCAGGTAGGCAAATAAATGCTTGGGTGAAGCGAGGGCATCTGGGTGTGGTGGGTGGGGCAAGCTCCACAGCGCGGTGCTGCAATGGCAAAGTGGGCAATGGAGCAGCCCTCTCTTCTCCCTGCTTCTCCCCCTTCCTTGTGCTGGTCGCTCCATTGTCCATTTCTACATTGCAGCGCAATGCCCAAGTTACACTTTGATAGCAGGGGGGATAATTTGCCTGGTCAAACTAACCCCGCAATCTCCCCTACATTGGCTTAACTTCGATTAGGTTGATCAGTCAGTGGCTCTGTCGGTGGCAAGCAAAACATGGGCCTCCTCCTGCCCCCAAGCACGCCCAGCTGTGTGTGGCCTTTCCTCTGCCTTTCTTTCCCTCACGGATTGCAGTGGACAAAAAAACAATTATGCCGCCTGCTATAGCCAAGGCCACCCCTGCTAAACAAGCAGCAGGTGTCCTGGCAGAGGCAGCAGAGGGTAGGGCGGAGAAGCAAAGAGTAATGAGGCGCAGCAAAGGGTCCTGGTCCTCCTCCTCTCCTCCTCCCCCTTCTCAACTTCCCAGCCCTGGGCAGCCCTAGAGGCTGGAGGGAAAAAGCAGCTACTGGAATAAGTAGGATACGGGAAATTTGGAGGAGCTGAAATTGTGTTCACTTCTTGCATTATAGCTAGCTTCTGCAGCTTCATCCACTATTATTTCCATTTTAGAATGAAAAGGCTTAAAGTTGCAAAAATAATAGTTCTATACTAAAGGGGCATTTCTCAGGATGCTGAGTTGTCTCTTTAATGCAACCACATGGGATTATCACAAAACACAAACATATATCTGCACTTCTAATTATCCTCTGAAGTCTGTGTCTGTCTTATTGGTTTGCAGAACCAAACCAGACAGTTATAGGGGTGCAGATGACAGAGTCAATAATTCCTCTGTATCAACAGCTCTTTGGGAAGTTTGAGTTTAGCTGAACAGTTTAGCTGAACTCTGCCTTGTTTATCATTATTTTAGGTAGTAATTTATCAAATAAAAAACACAACATGGAAAATCTGCAATAATCTTTATATTTTGGTTATCTGTAAGTTCAAAAAACAGAGGTGAATTTGTGGTATGGAATCATTTCTCAAATGAAGCCACTCAGTGAAACCGAATCTTTATAATTGGCATTATATCTTTGGAAAATACAGCTGATGTGAAAATGCAAAATTTATATAATGTATTCTGCATGTATGGTGTTTGCAATTCATAGTGCTTATTTATTAATCAAGCTAATAATTAATATTTCATAACTGGAAATGGTTCTTGAAATCCACTGCATTTATTAATAAACCCCTATTAATTTTGTTAATGTGGCCATTGGACAACAGGCGGTTATAAAAATGGACTGTATATCCAAGGTGCTCCCATATCTACAAAACGCATGAAAAGAAACATCTGGTTTTTGTTAAGTTACTGTTAAGTGACTATAAACAGGCAGGTGCAAAAGTTATCCTCGGGGGAAGACAAAGAATATGTCACAGGTTTTAGAGCTATGATATAAAAGGTACATGTCAGAAAAGATGCTTGCGGAATGGCTGGGAATGGTGTTGCTCAAGCACTTTATGTAAATAAAGATTGTCCTTGACTTACAACCATTTGCCTAGCAACTGTTCAAAGTTATAGTGGTGATTTAAGATTGGTCTTCGAACTTATGACCAGTGGTGGGTTGCTACTTGTTCGATCTGGATCTTGCAAACCGGTAGTAACTTTGGTGTTTTGCGTCACGTATTATGCTAGATGGGATGGAAGATCAAATGTTGTTCAGGGCATTTAGTAGATCTTTCACTCATTTGCTATGCACTTCCCGAATGGCAGGCAGTCTTTTTTTCCCTGTGTTTTCTTTTGTGTTGTTTTCAATATTTTCTTTCATCGTTTTTGCTAGATCACTTAGCTCTACACTTTCGAGTTGTTGCACAGGACGATCTTTATCCTGTATGTTGGTTTCTTCTGCTGGTTGGTCAGTTTGTTCAGGTGTTGGAACAATTTCTTCAGCCTGTTCATCATTACTTCTTGTTTTCTTTTTAGCCAATGTTTCTAGATATTGCATTTCCTCATCTGTAAAAACTTTATTACAGATGATGAAATGTTTGATCCATTAATCGTTGTTCAGTTACATCACTTTCCGAATGTTTTTCCTTCCACAGTTGCATCATTCTTTTTTGAAATCAGACTGTTGGTTTTGCCTGGTAGTAACATTTTATGATTTCTCGATTTTCTTCGGCTGTCCAGGTTTTGCGCTTTTGTTCCAGTCACTTTGCAGTTGCACACCCTGGTTCCCCAGTAGTAACAACTGAGCCCTGTAGCCCATTTTTTGACAGAGGTCCAGGAGCCATATCATCTGACGTGGCCTTGATTGACCTGGGCGACGACTGATCCGGTGTGGAATTTTCTTGATTTCTTCTCATCACTGGTGATGGTAGGTGGCTGGGTTGGATCACGGTGGCAAAGCCACTACCAATCCGAAGACCAGTAATCCCATAACTATAGGGACTGCACCGGATAGCTCTCCAGGCCCACCAACGGTGGGGAAAGGAGCAGCAGCTCAACTGCCTGTATGGTGTTAGGAAGGCAGGATCAGGTGTGGGGTAGGGGGAGTGGCAGCCCAACTGCCCTTTTGGTGTCAGGAAGGCAGGATAAGGTATTAGTAGTAGTAGTAGTGGTCCCGAGGTGGGGGGGACGGTGAGCGGGTGGCCATCAGGGGAGAACACTGCACTGTTTAGTAGCTCCAGCGGCTACAGCACAAACATTCATGCTCCCTTGAGTCTTCAAGATTCAAGTGACAAGAAATGTGTTACTTTTGGGGTGACTGCGAGATTGCCCTGCCTCGCCGCCAGCCAGCTGGTCTTTGGTGCGTGGCTCATCAGCCTCCAGACATCAAATTCCCACCACCAGTTCGGGGTTCCTTCCTCCCCCCCCCAGGGGACAGAGAGAGAGAGAGAGAGAGACAGAGAGAGAGAGAGAGAGAGAGAGAGAGAGAGAGAGCAGAGACAGAGGCAGAGGCAGAGGCAGAGACAGAGACAGAGACAGAGACAGAGACAGAGACAGAGACAGAGACAGAGAGGAAGGAAGGAAGGAAGGAAGGAAGGAAGGAAGGAAGGAAGGAAGGAAGGAAGGAAGGAAGGAAGGAAGGAAGGAAGGAAGGAAGGAGACAAGAGACACATAGAGGAGGACCAGATTACGAACAGATAATCATGAGGAAAATCTATCTATGTGGTTGTTAAAAATTCATAACGTAATCAATCAAAATCCTTTCTTCTTTTAATTTATCATCTTCCTAGATTAACAGTTCTGAAAAACATGAAAAACTCTATTTTTTTATGTTAGATTACCCAGTTGAAGGTGTTCCCTTAACATATATTTTACTATTCTTTCAATCCTGTATAAATTTATACCTTTCATAAATTTACCCCAGAACAAATTTCATTGTATTGGGTGGAACCTACACTAACGTAGGCATGCATATCTTTACATACTTTGTTTTGGCTTGCCTGATAGGATAGATATTTCCCAGTGCAAAATATAATATTTCTAAAATCCTCTAAAAATTGCAAGTTTACTTCTGTTTGTTTTTTTATTAAATCAGGGGAAAGGAGCCCGCCCTCTTTCATAGCCCCAGATTAAGGAATATTTTGCTCAGTAGAAAAACAAGTGGAACGAGTGGAATGAGGAGTGTGAAGGAAACTGGAGATGATGGAATGATGAAAACACCTCCCTAACATCTGCCATTTTACCTTTTCCTTCCATTCAACTTTGCCCTCCAAGTCCCATGATGCTCAGAGAAGAAGTTCTCTAGTTGCCATAGTAGCAAAGATCTAAACAGCCACTTCTTTGCCAACGAAGCCCAAGAACCGGTAACGTGAATAAACGGACCTCGGGTAGAAGCCTCTGTCTGGGCATCGTGGGGAGGAAGTTTAAACCCTGCGTGCTTGGCGGGAGCTTCGACTTCTGTTCTCTGGGCAGTCAAGGAGTGCTTGGTTCGAGTTGTGGGTAAGCAAAGATAGCAACAGTTAAGGGGAAGCAAAAAAACAGGTGGAAGATAAAGGCCTGGTGGAAGAGCTCTTCCAAGGGACCTGGAAAATGAAGCAGCTACTTTTCCCTTCCAAGTTGAATTGTGTTGCCAACTTCCGTTATGTACTGTTTTTATAGTTCATTTCTCATCAGTGATAACTGAGCACTAACTGCACAATCTCTGCCTCAATTAGTTTTTTTCCTTTTCTCCTTTCATATGTTTATTCATTCCTTTTTAATTTTTTTAAAAGAAGTGGAACGTCTTTTTCCCTTCTTTCCTTTTTAATTCTCTTTTAAATATATATTTAAATATATATTTAAATATATGTTGGGGTCAGAATCTTCTTTCAATTGCTTTGTCCTTTGTCTTTCTCATAATTTCCTGGGTCAAATTTTTTTATCTGCATGTGAATTTATTTCAGCAATGGGAACTAATCTTTTCTTCTTTTTTATCCCTCCAGTCTTAAAACCTCAGACTATTTTTTTATTTTTAAAACTGCTATATTTATCCCTTCTTTTGTTCCTTCTTGTATCATCCAGTTTCATTTTTCAATGGCCTCTTTTCTGCCCGCCTCTTTTCCTTAAGCCAGCTGTACATATGTATCATTCAGCTTTTCTCTCCTTAAATTCTTCTAAAAATTGATGGGCTTATTCCAAGGCAAGTGGATAACAAGACAAGGGAACTAATCTCTGAGAATTCCATAGGGCTTCTTTTGAAAAGATGAATAGAGCATAAGTGCTCCTCTCACATTCTGACAGTTAAGACTGTTTAACAAAGTTGCCCCTGAATCTGGAAGTTTTTCAAAATCTAGAAACGTACATTGTGACATCACAATGGAAACTGCTCCTCTTATGTACAATATATGCCTGTTTCCATCGCAATGATGCAGATATAAAAGGGGCAGAATCTACACTGCTACCTCTCATCTCCTCCCCGGTGAAAGAAATAAGGAAAACAGAGTCTCAATTTTTGATTTTTGGAGTCATTTTGGGGCCTAGGGACAAAATGAGTGTTATAAGCCTTCTGGGGTTTAAGGAACTATCTTTCGAAGTAAAATTCCTCAGAGAAACAGACCCTGCCCATTTCTGGAGGGCTTCTCTTGCTTGTCTGTTTATTCAGTGTTGCTGTTCTGCCCCACCTATGCACCCCAAAGAACGCAGCACACACAAAATCTGTACAAACCTTAGGTTTGACTAACCAAAAGGCATTCTGCACCAATTTAATGTTTCCTTAACACATTTTAAAATGTACATGTTTTTAAATTGTATAGAAATAAGGCCAATCTTGAATGTTGGAGGGTTTCTGAACTAGCAAGGAATAATCTGCTGCTATTTTGACTTTGATTTATCAGGAAAATATTTTCTCAGTATGATGTTTCCCATAAGTAGCTGGGTGAAAGAAATAATGTTGTATGCTTGCTTGAGCAGGATATTGGACTAGACCTATAAGGTCCCTTCCAGCTCCATTATTCTATTATTTGAATGTCAGTACAGATATTCCTTGAAATGTAACACTATTACTTTACTCTTTTTAGCTCCTTGAAAGGACTCAGGACTCTGGAGGCATTGCATTCTGTGAATGAGAATGCCAAGAAAGTAGCATATTAATTAATCAACACATCAGTTCTTCAAGAAGTATAAGAATAATATAATGCTAGGAGCCAAAATTGTGGTGATCTTTTTGGTAGAGAATCAGCGCAAACAACTTTTAAATGTATTGGATGAAGGCTTAAGTAAATGTTTACATCATACATTGTTTCTTTTTCTGACTACAGTGCCATTTCCTTTGGGAAATTTAAAATATACTTGATAGACTTCCCTGCCATTGGTGGAATGATGGCTTCTGATCATCCAGCCCTTCATCATACTGCCCAAGAGGATAAAACATCTGGACAATGCAGAAAAAGAGGAAGCTCAAACGATTCTCCAGGTAGGCTTAGTAAGAGCACCATCAGTCAAGACAGTAGCTGTAGCAAACATTCCAGCAAGTCTGGAAGTGCTCAGTTTACCTACTCTAATGACTTTCATGATAATGCTTCAAGAACAGCTGTCAATGGCAGCAAGAACAGCATTTGTTCAGAAGAGAACATCTGTGGAACTTCTCAGAACTACTATCACAAAGATTTTCACTCGGATTCCTCTAAAGCCTCCATAAGTGAAGAGAGTGGCAGCTACATCATCCCATTGCCCGAAACACCAAAAACTAAAGAGCGGAATTTACCAGAAAAGAAAAAGAAAAATGATGTCCATACAAAAGGTAAGAAGGCAATTGCTCACTTTGAACACTACTGCATTCACTGTGGTTGGCAGATTTCAACCGAACTAATGGCAGCTAAGCCTTTCCTAAAAATCAAGCAGTTGTCCTATAACTCCACTTTTGCTTAGCTACCCTAACACTTCTATACTCTAGAGGCTACACTATAATTTTGGAAACCATTTGAATGTTGATAAAATGTTTAAATTGTATGCAGTTGATTAATACATTAATGGACTGCTTTCCACACCCTGTCAGTAATTCCTCTATCGAGGTAATGGAGCTTGTAGCGATGGATGTAGTTCACCAGTTATCATGGTCATACAGATGTCAGTGTCACATGGTTTCCATAAATAAGCCAAGGGCCAGGGGAGAGGTTCCACTATTTTAAAAAAAAAGTGTTGGCAAATTTTAATGGTCACACTTCATTTTTTTCAGTCTATTACATTCATTGTTTTATCATTATTTGGATATGGTATGTATGTATGTATATGTATATCTATCCACCTGTCTGTCTAGGCAGTTTGGTATAGTGGTTAGGGTGCTGGGCTACCAATCCTGCTTTAGGCCTGTCTGGCTGAAGAAGTCTAGGAGTTGAAGTCAATGCATCTTAAAGCTTTCTAAATACTGTCCTAGCATATTATGTGAGTAGAGCAGTTCTGTTTTACGGAAGCTAATATTATGAGAGTTCCGGTATGATTTTTCACAATAGGTCAATCAACAAATAGTTGCATCAGAGATTGACTCAAAAAGTTAGATAAAAGGAAGCGAATCTATGTCGTGAATACATATTTGAGCATTTGGCTCTGAGGCTTATGTAAAATGATGTGATTCTTACTTTGCTCAATCTTACATGCCGTCTTGATTTTTTTCTTTTCTTTTAATGTAGGAGGCAAAACGTTGCCTAAAAAGAAACCTCCGCAGAAGAAGACAATTATTACTGGCCATACCATCAATGCTCAGGAGAAGAAAAATAAGATAGCTTGTCATCTATTGTCAGCAACAGACCATTCAATTAAAGAACTGAAAAACGAAGCGGCTGTCCTGCGGAATAAAGTGGAGACTTTTACTACGGAAAATAAAATCTTGAAGCGTCTCCAGTCCAAGACATTTAAAAGCAATCAGTAAATACAAAAATGCAGAGATTAACCTGCCTGATCTTTTGGCCACGCACGCTAATGAAGGGCAGACTCTGAGAGCAGATCTCAGGAAATCTCAGGAAAACGAGTACAAGGTTTCCAAGAAGCTGAGAGAAGTTCAGGCAGAACACTTGAAAACAACGGATGCCTTGCGGTCATTGCAAAATCTTTGTGAAGACAAAAAGCTTGAAGAGAGAGAAGAACTTCACCATCAATTAAGATCACTTACCCAAAAATTGGAAGCTAGGGATAAGAAAACTCAGGTAACTTGCAACATACATTGCTTAGAACTACATAGCAGGGTTCTGTGAGACTGTGAAAAATTGTGAGTATTATAACTGAGATTGAAGATTCTCAATGCTAAAATTTCAGTTGCCTTCCTCTAATTTCTAATTCAATATTGTATGTTTGTAAAAATTTAATAAACTTATTGATGGTTTATTTCTAATGCGTTTAGGATTTGGAAAAGCAGCTCGCATCGAACACTGCCTTTTTTCGACATAAATTAGCAGTTGAGGAAAAAAAGGTCATTGAAGTTCAGTCAAGCAGAGCAAATTTAGAAGTAGAAATCGAGTCGCTGAAGCTAAAACTTAAGGTATTTAGAAGCTTAAATTACATTTCTCTTACCGCAGAAGGCATCCAAGATGCTATTCACTAAAGGCTCATTTGAGGTGAGCCTATCTTGCTTTGTGGGGCTTTCTTTCAGCCTGGAACCATCTAAACTCTAGATTGCAGCAATGTATTAATTTATGTTAGTCCATTTGCACGTTACCATTTCTAGGAACAGACAGTACTTGAAAAGTGTGTCCCAACATGAAAACATATTAATCAAGGCCTGTACTGATAGAAAATTGAGAAGCAGTTAATATTTACATTGTAATTATAGTACATATTTAATACTGCATACTTTGTTAATGTCATAACTATTTTGTATCAAAACATTTTGGAAGGACTTTTAAGGTCAAATTTAATTAATTGTTTATGAATTGTAAAAATAAAAAAACTTGATCACAAACTTCACAGTTCCAGGAAAAAAAAAGGATATTTATCTTTCAGAATCTTTAGAAAAGGAAGTATTTGGCCAAATGATGCCTAAGCAAATGTTTAAAATACAGATAAATAAAATGAGATACTGGGGGAATTACACGGTGAAATGTATGATCTCTGAAGAACCAACATTAATCCAATACACTATATTATCAACATCAATGTAATAATGCATTTCTTTAGGAAAGAGAACGAGAACTAAACATTACAAATATTTATGCACACCGGATGCGCAAAGGTCAGCCAGAGAAAGCCGATTCACGTTCTTCTCCAAAAGGTAGAACAGAGTTTATCTCATACTTTACTGTGAAATAAAAATATGATAATTCTTTGACTTGTCAAAAATATTTCAAATCCTTGCTCTATTTTCTTTTTAAAAATGGCAATGCTGCATTTTGTGAACTCTTTATGTAGGAGTCATGAGTCTTGATTAAACAGGATCATTCTCATCATTCTCTCTAGATGGGAAAAGAGTTTTATGGGTATTTACTAAGAAACCTCACTAAATTCAAAAGTCCTTTGTTACAGGATTTTAGTGTATATGTCTGTTATATAGATCATAGCTAAATGATACCTAGGTATAATCTCATTTATATTTTGATGACTTCTGGAGCCTTTTGATTTGGGATATAAGCCTGGCTTTGGAACTGAAATTGCTTTATTCTCTCATGCCATACTGCCATTATAAACTGAATTAAATCATGTATGTTGAAGCAAAAAGTATTAATAAGTGGCAAATTTATTTTTATTTTTGTCAAATTTATATAACGTAGTTGCCCATCTCTCTAGAGCTACATGCTCAAGATCTATTATTGCTGTTTCTTCCTCCAAATTTAATGCCACAGTCATTTCCCCCCAATCCCGCCTCCCTCATATACATACATCATATAGGCTGAATAATTAATGAGAGTTTATGTCTCTCCCCTTAGTATATCTCTGTATACTATATTGCCTGGTCCCATGCAGTATGAAATAACCCCCTTGTCATTGCCACTGAAGGGATTATCTAATATCCTCTCATCCGGCTGCTGCTATCCAATATAGACAGACCTCAAATTATGACTGTAATAGAGCTCAGAATTTCCATTGTAAATTATGATGTTTGTAAATAAAGGGATCCCCCTGACCAACCTGATTTTACCTCAATTGTAAAACAGATGCTGCAATCATTAAGCAAACATTCTGGTTGTTAAGCAAGTTAGTGCATTCTGTGCCAAAATCTGATTCCTTTTTCACCAAATCGAACTGGCTATTTGCGTTACTAGAGAATAAAATGCAATAAAAGCAATATGAACAGCATATGTACTAAATCGCTTAAAACATGTAAGTAAAATACCACTTGCCTTTCAGTAATGTCAGTCAGGAATGTATCAAGTTTGTTTGTTTGTTTGTTTGTTTATTTATTTATTTGTTTATTTATTTATTTATTGGCTTTACATAGTTGTTAAAGTCAACAAAGCAATTCAGGTAAATATCAACATAAAAACCACAACTCTTCGGAAGCCTGAGCCTTATGTAAGTCCTATGATCTTCCACGAGGTATGGAACAGCTGAACAATACTTTTATCATTCTTAACTTCTGCTCCTTTGTAAGCTTGGTTTCTGCTGATAATTGCCTGCTTGTAACATGCATCTTATACTAAGATTTTATAACTTTGTTATAAATATAACTTCGTTACTGAAAAGGGAACTAAAGGATACAACTTTAAATTTTATTATTGTATTAATAGGAAATCCTTGTTAAGATATGGGACAATGTATGGATTATGATAATATTTTATACTGATCCATGGCTTAATTATGGTTTGCTGAAGAAATAATGGCTAGTTCACCCAACATGCCAAGAGAAGGCCAACCACAAAAAGGGTTGAAGCAATTTTCCAAACAAAGCTATTTCCAATCCACTTGCATGCCCAAGTGTAGATGTTGATGGAGGGTTTTGGCGTACCTGCCATTTTTTTGAGGAGCTGGGAGTCTGGCAGTTCTATCTTTATTAACTTTTGGGAATCCTTAAAATATGGTTTTGTCAGTGGGCTTGGTGATCCTACAGAAATAGGGAACGGGAAATGGCTATATTTCATGTAAGATGTTTAAATGACCTCCCCAAAGACTTCAAAAATATTTATAGTTGTTTAGTTTTTTTAATGGCTTATAATGGCTTGGACTGAATTTTGTGTGTTGCCCAGTCACATGCATGACATAGGCAGCTTAATAAATATGTTAAATAAATAAATTAAACAACCCTGCAAGTATTCCTTCTCTCTCTTTCCTGGTTTGTCTGAGATCCCAATAGGGCTTATTGTGCTAGAATTGGTTGCATTTTTCCTTTCTTTATAACTTTGCGCTTCTTTTGAACTAGGTCTTGGGGACTCTGTTCATGAAGGTAGTCAGAGCGATATGTATATCCTATTAAAGTTCCGCTGTTTGTCTCTCTGTAAATTTTAACTGGGCAGAAGTGTGCATCATAGGGCAATCATTTTTCAACCAAGGTAGCTGAAATGGGTTTACTTAGTCCAAAATCCGGAACCCATGGCTTCTGTGGAATTGAAATTGGACAAATTACATGACATAAAATTATAATAAGAAAAAAAGTCAGAAAATATTTCCTGGGGTCAGCTGTCGATTTTTGACCATTTTATACAGTTCAACCTGGCTATGTTCAAGGCAGATACATGTCTGAATATCTTCCTGAATTGTTAAGAACTTTTCTAGTGAAGACAGTACATTAGAAGCTCTGTTATTGTTGAAGGCATTGAGGAATGTGGTAAGGTGGTATCTCTGAAACAATGACCAAAGGAGTCGTGGGTTCTCTGGTATTAATTAAAATGCTGAATACCTCAAGGGAATTTTAGGTTCAAGTCCACCTTGACTCGCAATGCCATAGGCAACTTTGCTTTAGTGACTATCAATCAAATAATATGGAGTTTCTATTGTAAAGAAATTTTGGAAGAAATATGGAAGACTTGAAGGAGATATAAATCTAAGAAATAAATAAAAACAAAGCCCTTATTTATTGATGTTTTCCTATTTTGGATTATAATTTAAAACTATGTTAATTCAATATTGGGAGACTTTAGAGAGACACTTTATTAGACAGAGAAAAACGAAATGGAAGGGAGGATATTAATGGAGATTTAACGACACTTTATCACTTATACATGTAAAAGGTAACATTCACTTACAGATATCTGCTTTTTTTCTGTGACCTTTTAGGAATTGAAAACCAACAGAGAGGTGAAAGAAGTAGTTAGCATAGCTAAAAAACGTGTCCCTGAAACAGGAGTTCATCTCCCTGAAATGTTACCAGTGCACAATATTTCAAACAGGACATTCATGGGTAAAAACCATAAATGACTATAAATATTGAACTGTAAAAATCGCAAGACATACCTTTTGCTTAAGGAGTCAAACATTGTGCTATAATGCTTTATTTTATAACTGCTCTGTGTTATTGTGAACAATGTCTGCTCTTCAGAAGAAATACAGAATGTGGCATAAGTTTCTTGGACAGTTTATTTTAACTGAAGGTGCTAGTTTAAATAATTTGTAACACTAGATAGAATACAGGTAGTCTTTGACTTACAACAGTTCATTTAGTGACCATTCAAAATTACAAAGGTACTGAAAAAAGTAACTTATGACTATTTTTCATACTTATGACCAGTGCAGTATCCCCATGGTGACATCATCAAAATTCAGATGCTTGACAACTGGTTCATATTTATGACTGGGGTCATGTGATCCTTTTATGCGACCTTCCAACAAGCAAAGTCAATGCGGAAGCCAGATTCACTTAACAACTGTGTTATTATTCACTTAACATGGTCATAGGTCAAGGACTACTTGTAACGTACTTTTGTCACTGTTGTTTTCTCTAACAAATGATGGATGTTTCTAAATAGTTACTGTTGAAATAACATTTTTTGCAGGATTCCAAAATGAAGAGATCTGCCCAAGAATAGAAAAAAATACCCAGTATGAAAATATAGAAAGACACAAGAACAGGAGAGAAAGGCAAAGGTTGGAACTATTGAACACAGAATTTGATATATTAAAGACCAAACCAATTGAAAAAAAGGAAAATGAAGAAGATAAAGAGGCAAAAGAAGCTGTTTGTGACATATTAACAATGGAAACACCATCTACCTCTAAAAAACAGTATGTATTTTCAGAGGCCATTCAAAATTTACATCAGGGATATCCTTCAACAGGTCCAAAGATAACATACAGTAGAAGACAAAGAAACAGGCAACAGGATGGAAAAACAAACCTTTGCCCAGTAAGAAAACCCCATGATAAGGTTTGATAGACATATGATGGCTTGCATTGGGTGATTCCAGTCAAGCCCATAGAACTAGTAGATATTAGATGCTGGATAGTATTAGTACTAGGAGATATTAGATAGCAGATGTTAGTATTAGTACTAGGAGATATTAGATAGCAGATGTTAGTATTAGAACTAGAATATATTAGTAGTTTCTATAATTATTGTAATAAGCATCACAAAAACCTAGATTTTGTGAACTTGTTGCACATTTTTACAACACATAAATATTAAAGGAATTTTGAAAGAAACGTTTTATGACTCGTGCTTATCAATTTCTACCTCTAAATAAAATTTCCTTGAAGCCTCTTTCTTTCCTATTTGAAATGAACAAGGAGAATATTTCTTTGCAGCTTATATTCACTGGTTCTGTTTCATCACATGAGGGAGCTAACGACTGTAATATTTTAACTCCTCAGCAATATAATTATATTTACTAGACTAATTGGAATTAATGTTATAAAATTTTAATTTTTTAATTTTAGTAATGTTTTGGAACAATGGTTACACGTAAGAGAACTGATAGATCTGAAAGAAGTTGATCAGGAGTAGCTGAATCTTCAAGAGCTTTTTGGGATGAATATAGAGCAAAATTATATGAAGTAATTCAAGCAATGAGAACAAAGCTTGAACTGCATTCTAACCACTGAGCCATGGCGTGCATTGGTTAAACACAGTATCGCAGGCTAACTCTGCCCATAGCTAGAAATTCAAGGCTGGGCATTAACTTTGGTTGCAAAAATGAACTAACATGGCTGCACCCTAGGAAAATTTCAAAGTGAGGGGGAGAGAGAGAGGGAAGGAGGGAGAGAGAGAGAATTGGGGGCAAATCTTTTGTCATGGGCTCAGAACATGGAGAAGCATCACTTTCTTAAACAGCAAGCAAGTAACCAAGTAGCTTTGAAAGACTCTTCTAGGGAGAAACATAAATCACATGCATATACTTACTGCCGTTGACTCTGAGGATGTAGCCACAAACACTTTAATAATTGTTGTGTTCGGCATGCTGCCTGACGACGAAGACGCCGTATCCTGATTGGCCGGCATGAAGTTGCCGCTAAGCGCGGAAGTCTCCAAGCTTGCGGATTGGTTACAAGAGTGTGACAGCTACTATGAAAAACGCTGTCAGCCTCAGTTGTTTGTTCTGTTATCCGAGTGGCTGGTTTAACTGTTGTACTATTAAAGTAGTGTTGAACGTTCTGTGTTGCCTCGGTCCATGCCTTCCACCTCGCAACAGAGCACTGGCAACGAGGATGGGATATGAGGCACACGGGCAGCGTAGTCCATAACTGAATGGCTACGCTGCAATAGCGGCGGAATACCTCTAGGTCACACAGACACCAGTCTAAGCATGGCTCCGCCAACATTCACCCCATTTGATGCTGCTACTGAAACCTGGGATGCCCATTTGCAACATTGCCAATTTCTGCCGTTCATTTGTCAAAACTGCCTCCTTTCCCAAGCAGTGGCATTCTGCCAATGAAGATTGGTTCTCTGTTTTTCGTGGCCGCCAGGTCACTGAAGTGACCACCCGCCCAGTCAGCTCTGCGGGTGCTAAACTGTTGCTGACCCTCAAGATAGAAGGAGCAACTTGCCAGATGGAAGTGGACACAGGATCGGCTAAGTCTATTGTGTCCTGGTGGGCCATAAAGAATCTTATACCCAACCTACGAAAGACCCAGCTGTGCCCCTGCCCAGTCAAACTTCGTGTTTACCAGGGGAATTACATTCCCATAATTGGGCATGGCCGTTTCTTAGTGGAAAAGGATGGGTTTGCAGGGCATCTGACCTTGATTGTAGTTGATGGGTCTCTTCCCAGTCTCTTGGGGTTAGATTGATTCAGCAGATCCCGGTGGATGACGCCTCAGCTGAGCTCAGACCATTGTGACTTCCGGGGAGCATTTAAATGCCGGCGTCTGCAATTTGGAATTAGTGTGGCCCCTGGACTTTTCCAGAATCTGATGGAGCGGTTGTTACATGGCCTTCCAGGTGTGGTGCCCTACTTCAACGATGTGCTCACCCGCTTCTTGTCGGAGCGAGCTCATCGATCGAGTTAGGGCAGTCTTTTTGCGCTTTCGTCAATCTGGCCTGAAACTAAAGAAGGCCGGGCACCGTCAGACTCCTCAAATTCTTTCCCCTCGGATGTCCTGTTGGCCAGTGTTTTGGGCTGCCTATAACTATACCCTGGTTCACTGCCCCGGCAAATTGATGCAACACGCGGAAACCCTAAGCCGCTGCCCATTGCTGTGTGCCACCAGGGGGTGGTCATTAGGGCAGGTGGCTGAAGTTTTTGTGCCATACTGGTTCTGTCACCATGAGTTGTCCGTCCAACAGGGATGTTTATTGTGGGGAAATAGGGTAGTGGTTCCTCCCAAGCTACAGCCCTCAGTTCTGCAGTGTTTACACGACCGTCATCCTGGCATTGTCAGGATGAAGGCCTAAGCCGGAGTTATGTCTGGTGGCCCAAAATTGACAGAGACATCACCGACTGGATCTCCGGGTGTCAGAAATGCCAGCTTTCGAGGCCGGCACCACCCTCCTCCCCTCCTAGGGAATGTGAGACTCCTAAAAGCCACAACTCTTTGGAAGCCTGAGCCTGAAGGAAGTCCAATGACCTTCCATGAGGTATGGAAAAACTGAACAATTCTTTTATCATTTTAAACTTCTGATCAATTGTAAGTTTTATTTCTGCTGATAATTGCCTTCTTCTTATAACATGCATCTTATTGTAAGGTTTTTGGAGTAGGGAGGGTTGCAGGCTATTTATAACTATGTTATAAATTTATAAATAGAAGAAATACTTTTAAAAGAAATGTAGATTTATAACTATATTTTTAACATAAATTTCTTACTCATAAAGTTTTTTTCTTAAACCTGGAAGCTAAAGGATTATATTAGTAGGAAATCCTTGGAATAGTTAAGAAAACATTTTAATAAAGAGTTAAGACATGGGACAATTTATTAATATTTTATACTGGTCTTTTTGAGAAGGTGGGCAGCTGGCAGTTCTAACTTTTGGGAAGCCCTTAAAATGGTATATTATAGGTAGAATTTTGAATGAAGTTTCCAAAGGCTTTGATTATATTTCTAGTTTTTTTGTTTTTTTAATGGCTTATAATGGCTTTGACTGAATTTTGTGTGTTGCCCAGTCACATGCATGAGACAGGCAACCTCAGCAGGCGAGCGAGGCCTCAGCTGGGGTCCTCGGCAGACAACGGGCTTCCCAGGATGCCTAGAGCCAGCTCTGCCCTATGGAGGCCCGGTTCCCATGCAGCACCATGATCCATGAGCTGCTGCTGGCACTACGCGGCTACCCAGGCAGCCTCTTCATGGGCAGCAGCCTGAAGGTGGGCAGGGCAGGTGGGCAGCCCTCCCTCCCTTTCTTCACAGGCCTGGCCCAGCACCCTTCCTCCTCCTCCTCCTCCTCCTCCTCCTCCTCCTCCTCCTCCACAGGTGTCCCCAGAGCTGTTGCCATTTCTGCACCCTCCCTCCTGGCCTGCATCTGCAGGGAAACAAAGATTTGTGGGACTAAAAAGAAAGTTTAATCAATCAATTCCAACTTCTTGTAAAAGAAAAAGATCTCACAAAGTTGGAATTGATTGCGTGAACTGTTTTTTTTTTTTAGTCTCACAAACTTTTGTTTCCCTGCACACGATGGTGAGAAACGTGACAGAGAAATGCGATGGAGCTGGAAATCAAGTAGGCAAATAAATGCTTGGGTGAAGCGAGGGCATCTGGGTGTGGTGGGTGGGGCAAGCTCCACAGCGCGGTGCTGCAATGGCAAAGTGGGCAATGGAGCAGCCCTCTCTTCTCCCTGCTTCTCCCCCTTCCTTGTGCTGGTCGCTCCATTGTCCATTTCTACATTGCAGCGCAATGCCCAAGTTACACTTTGATAGCAGGGGGGATAATTTGCCTGGTCAAACTAACCCCGCAATCTCCCCTACATTGGCTTAACTTCGATTGGGTTGATCAGTCAGTCAGTGGCTCTGTCGGTGGCAAGCAAAACTTGGGCCTCCTCCTGCCCCCAAGCACGCCCAGCTGTGTGTGGCCTTTCCTCTGCCTTTCTTTCCCTCACGGATTGCAGTGGACAAAAAAACAATTATGCCGCCTGCTATAGCCAAGGCCACCCCTGCTAAACAAGCAGCAGGTGTCCTGGCGGAGGCAGCAGAGGGTAGGGCGGAGAAGCAAAGAGTAATGAGGCGCAGCAAAGGGTCCTGGTCCTCCTCCTCTCCTCCTCCCCCTTCTCAACTTCCCAGCCCTGGGCAGCCCTGGAGGCTGGAGGGAAAAAGCAGCTCCTGGAATAAGTAGGATACGGGAAATTTGGAGGAGCTGAAATTGTGTTCACTTCTTGCATTATAGCTAGCTTCTGCAGCTTCATCCACTATTATTTCCATTTTAGAATGAAAAGGCTTAAAGTTGCAAAAATAATAGTTTATTTATTTATTTTTATTTAAATTGGATTTCTATACCGCCCTTCTCCCTGAGGACTCAGGGCGGTGTACAGCCAGATTAAAAAACGTGCAGAACAAATATTAAAAACAATTAAAAGATATATAAATTTGGCCCAATTAAAACTCATTTACCAATTAAAAACGTTTAAAACATTTAAAAACAGTTAAAAATTTCATCTTAAGCCAGCCCGGCTTGTTTAAATAAATGGGTTTTAAGGGCGCGACGGAAGGCACTGAGGTCTTGGATTCTCCTTATCTCTGGGGGGAGCTGATTCCAGAGGGTAGGTGCCCCCACAGAGAAGGCTCTCCCCCTGGGGGTCACCAGCCTACATTGTCTGGCTGATGGCACCCCGAGGAGGCCCTCTCTGTGGGAGCGCACGGGTCGATGGGAGGTCGTTGGTAGCAGCAGGCGGTCTCAAAGATAGCTAGGCCCTATGCCATGGAGCGCTTTAAAGGTGATAACCAACACCTTGAAGCGCACCCGGAAGACAACTGGGAGCCAGTGCAGCTCGCGCAGGAGCGGTGTTACATGGGAGCGCCATGCTGCTCCCGTCACTACCCGCGCTGCTGCGTTCTGGACCAGCTGGAGCCTCCGGGTGCTCCTCAAGGGGAGCCCCATGTAGAGAGCGTTGCAATAGTCAAGGCGAGAGGTGACGAGGGCGTGAGTGACTGTGCACAGGGAATCCCGATCAAGAAAGGGCCGCAACTGGCGAATCAGGCGAACCTGACAAAAGGTCCCCCTGGTTACAGCCGTCAGATGTTCCTCCAAGGACAGCTGCATATCCAGGAGGACTCCCAGA